CAAAATCCCGAAGAGCAGCGGCTGGGATGGCTGTGCCTGCCTTGAGACTCGGAGGTGCCGGCAGCCCGCGTGTGCTTAAGCTCTAAGGCAGCCAGCTCAGTACGCACTGCCAGAAAGATGCTCTAACTGGGAAATGAGTGCGGGGCTGCAGCCCAGAGTAAGCACCCAAGGCCCAGGGCAGGCACACCCACTCTCGGCTAAAGCCCGACTTGCCAAGGCTGTATTGCCCAGATGAGTTAAGCAGCACAGGCACTTGCTGTACCCACCCCCACCAGCGGCAGCAGAACTGCATCTTCAGTGAGGTTTGCTTCATGTGGAGTAATTTATGAAACCCAAACTGGAAAACATGTATTTATCGGCTGCTGCTCACATTCTGCCAAAATTTTGTGTGCACACACCCTCCGAGGCAACTGAGTAAATTTGCTGAAGATGTCAAAGCAACCATACAAAGAGATGAGCTTGGAAGATTTCAGCACTGATCCCTAAGCCTCGATTGATCCAGATCTTAACCTTGAAACTACTCAATTTCTTCCCTTCCAAAGCCGGTTTTTGCAAAGTTGTTCCCTACAAAGAATCATTTCAGTTATTCAGGAGACCTATAAGTGCCATGAAATAGACAACTATAATTTGTTCACAATATTAGCAGACTACTAGTTACAACTGTGATTACAGCTTGCCTAAGATTAATTTCCTAAAATGTTCAACTCGGGTATGAACACTATATAGCTGTTACAACATTGATTGGTGAGATCTGTGAAGACATTTCAAACTAACAAATCACTCGCAGCCCTGCAGTAGATTCTTGTGTAATTTTGTCAGACCAGTTTCAACAGCCATTGCAGAATCCCCCACTGAAAATAAGCCCCCAGTTTGGGATGGGACAAAGCTGTGACTGCCTCAAGCGGAGTGCTGTGAGTACCAATAAAGGCAGTCAGAGCCTCGATGTTTTCCATCCCTCTCACTTCTGCTGACCAAATCTAAATGCTAAATTGTATTATCTCTGGCTGGGATATTTGTATGAACACTGTTGGAGTCCGTGTTTTCATACCTAGACATTGCTGAAGTGAAAATAAGCAACAAGAGGTTAAATTGTAAATTAAGAAAATTATCAATGTATGACTTAAAATTGTGGGGAAATGGATAAATAAAAGGGATGAACCTATTTGTAACTATGTATGTAAGTTATATGTAGAAAGATCACACTTCTTTTTGTTAAACAAGGACTTAACTTCATTCATCCCCCTTTCCCCCAACCTCTAATTTTACCCAGCTGGTCATCAACAAGCACTGAATAAAGGCTGCCTCAAAAACTTCAGTAAACTCTACAAAACCAGCAGAGAATGTTTAATTTCTCCCTAAATTGTTTACAGATACAATAGGGGGTTTTGCAGATATTATATTGTTTCCAATTTAGGAGGTGCTGTTCAGAAATTATTCTAATTATATCCAGCATAGGCCTATGAGAAGGAGAAACGGCTGACTAGACAGAAGTTAGTTTCTTGCAGCTGAGCCAGCCAGTCCATCTCACCACCTTCCTCTGTGGATGGGGTATTTTAATGGCTTTAATTCTGAACTGTGTGGTCTCTATACTGTGAAGCTACATAAGCATAGATTACAAACTCTGTAATTAGCTAACAGATATGGTAAAACCATCTATTTAAAATGGTACTGCAACTACAAAACTTGCCTTTCTGTCTCTTCTCCTTCATGCACTTGTGCTATGTGGCCCCAGTAGTTTCTTAGTATGAGAGTAACTGAAAGCACCTGACACAAACCATAATGACCAGTGATGCGCATTTCTTTAAACTTGATTCTCCTTTTCAAGCCATTTTAGGTCAGACAGTGGGATGGGAGTTACAGTGGTGTTTGTAGCTATCACTCTAGCACTAGTCTCTTCCTTTTTAGAAAGTTTTAAGTAACAAGTAAAGCTGCTGTCACAGCATGTTTCCTGTGTTTGATGAACACATGTGCTAAAACCTCCATTTACTTGACAGCGATTTACTCACTGCAGTAGAAAAACCTCCCTCAGTGAGCACATGGTGTTTGGCTGCAGCTTTTCTTCCATTGTGGGGGGAAGAGAGAAACCATTCCACTGACAAGCCAAAGTCCACAGACCTCTTACCTGGCATAGACCCAGCAGGCAAGAGCAGCTCACAGGCAACACAGTGTAAATGTGACTGTGTAGCTTTGGAGCCACTTTGCAACTGGGTTTACTGCTGCATTTACATAATACCTCACCTGAGCTCAAATACTCCTCGAGAGAGAAAGCAGCACTGGCTTCAAGCTGGGAATGTCCTTCAGACACACAGGCGTTAACTTCAGGGTGTGTGCTGGCTCCCTGCTTGTGTCACACCATGACTGTGCTGAAAAAATCCCTCTCCGCATTAAATGGGAACAAAATGACCCAGTCAGATTGTGCAGGAGGCAGCAAGGTACATGCCAATATCAGGTAAGAATTGTTCATTACAGGATCTGCTGCACTCATCTTTGAAGGATCTCTTGTCTGTATTAGAACAAACCCCTATTTTCTCTGAACGACTGTGAGAGCCGAGCAACCAGGCCTGTGAAAAACTAAGACAAACAGCCTGGGAAAGCAAAAGTTGAGGCTGATTGAAGATTTGCCTCAAACACTCCCAAGACAAAACTCTGAGTCACAGGGTGCTTTCTGTGGAGGCCGAAGCTGATAAGGCTGCCCGATGTATCTGGGGGAGAGAGCCCTGTGGAGATGGGACGGCTCTGCCCTGGGGCACCTGGGCAGATTTCAAGGGCCATGTGTCCGGTGAATGAACTTTGCTTCATTATCCACGAAATGCATATTAAAGTTGACACCCCGCAATATGCTAACGAGGGCTGTCATGATCATGCTAGTGACATCATCCCATGAAACCTTACCCCTCCCTGTACATTGGATACGTAGGTCTGTGGATTGACCTAGGGGACGGACCCAAGGAAAGTGGGTATAAATCAAAGGGGAGAAGAAAGGGCTCTCTCTCTCTCTCTGCCCCTCTTCCTGCCCCCGGCCGTCTGGAGAGAGCAGTGAAGCAAAGACGACGGATGCCAGCGAAGAAGATAGCTGCCTCCTGGAATCCTCGCCAGCAGGAGCAGCGCAGGAACCCAGACCGGTGATCTGTACTCCCCCATTCCCTCTATCTCCCTCTTTTCCTTTTTTCTGTTAAGAAATGTAAAGCATATTATATTGCTTGCCACAGCTTGCTCTGTACTTAGGCAGTATATCATGTGTTCAATTAGTGCATTGTAGGTAGTTAATAAATGCTTGAACTTGGAGACTTATTGTCCGCTCCAATTGGGGATTTGCGAATCTGAGTCACTTGTCCCCCTCGCTGGAGCGGGACGCGACAACGACAAATACTCTACTACTGCATATAGGCTACCAGTACTTAATGTTCTCTCTTTTATGGTGTATTTAAAAGATCAGTGCTCTGACATTCCCGTCCAACTCTAAATAGGTTAGCTACAAGCTAGGATTTCAGTGGCTTCTCTGAAGTGCTTAGATTGAATGAATCCAAATTGCATAAATACCAGGGTTTGTACTTGTTCATTGATCAAGTTGAGTATAATGGGAAGACAGTCATCAGAAAGGTAACAAGTTACTGACAGACATCTGACAGGCAATGAAAAGTAATGAATCTGCTCCCTTTCACACTTTTGTGTTTAGATTAACAAAATCTGCATGGGAAAAATAACAGGTGTCTTTTGTCAGGAAATCACATGTAGGGACATAGAGCTCCATATATACGGGCTATACCTTAATACAAAGTCTTCTGTCCTATTAATAAGACTTCCACTGTTAACAAGAACTCATCCCCCAGATTGCAACAACTAAGAAAACATTGTGTTGATGGAAAATACTACTGAAATGTTTTCATATTCTGCAACTCATAGTTTTATCCTTGAAAACAAACTACTTGGAAAAGCAACTAATGGTGTTCAGCATTTGAGAGTTACATTAAATACAAGCTGTTTGTACCCACAAAAGATAGGGAAAAGAAAGATGTGAAAGAAGTTAAAATTCACTAGGATATGATGCAGAATGAAAATATTTTTCCCAGAGTTTCATAATCTTTCTGGGGTAAGAAAACTAACAAATCATCAAGACAAGATGTAAGAGAAAGAGGTCTGAGTAGACAAGAGGTATGAGAAATTAAGGCAAGTTTGGGAACAAGCCTTTGACAAGGTCTTGTCTAAAATGCACACACAACTTCCATAAATTTCCCAAGTTCTCATTACTGTATTGAAAGGGAATGAAAGGGCTCAAACAAATGTATTTCTGACAGTTATTAAGACTAAACTGATATGATGTATGAAAGCTTTGCTTGTGCTTTGCTTTACTTTGTTTCAAAGCTCTGCTTGTGTTTTGACTCCCGACTGCTCAACTGTTTCCTTAGGTCCCTTTGTTTGTTTAGGTAAGATTGAAACTCCTGTTAAGCTCCCTATGTTAATCACTGATAGCAGACTCAAGGCCTTCAGTGGACACTTGGACAACTAGAATGGGAAAAACTAAGATAAGGGGGGAGCTCAAAGAAACACAGAGACCCTATTATAGGGAGGATCATTCTGCTGATTTAGGAAGGAGACACCTGGACTTAACTTCACAGCACATGCTCTGGAAAGAGGGCCTAGCAAATACTGTGAAGACTACTTACTCCCTCCCTTGACCATTGAAGACCCTCGCCCTATTTTCACTATGCATGTTTGGACTATGTAAATGAATTATGGGAACTCATTATCATGACACCCCTTTCTAGGAAATCTAATGAATACGTATGATCTGTGTGTATATAAACTGATGTCCCTAATTCTCGAGAGACCTTATGATGGAGAATCCCCAGGGCAACTCCAGCACTGCTAATAAAGAACACCTGCTTAACAGTAAAAAAAACCTTTACTGTTGAGTCAATTTGTTTCAGTATAGAAGTGAAGGAAAGTAAGAGGAATAGTCTCAGTTCCTATTTATATTGATCAAAAACACAAGACAAAAATACAACTAAGGCAAAACTTTATTTTTTCTTTTTTTGGTAGAAAGAAAAATGAAGCAGTATTTTCTAGGTTTCTTCTGCATCAGAACCTTCACCAAGCCTCATTAAACTGATAGTCTTACTCAGTGCATCTTGTTTTCAAGTAAAGCAAAAATACCAAATGAGATTATAAGTGGCTATTTGGAATACTTCTTCTGACCATGGCACCCAAATGTCCATTAAAGGGGGATTTTTCCAGTTGCTATCCCACTTACTTTTTCACTTTGTACAACCCCAAATACCACCGGAACTACTGCATTTTTGTAGTAGCTCCTGGATGCTGGCACCTACTTCAGAAATTGCGGTCCTAACCTAAATAATGTTGAATTACTATACATGTGAAGGTCAGTACAACATACACATACATCTTCACGCTACACTTGCCTGTTAGGCAAATGCAGTATGACAGCATTATCTTTACTTGCACATAGGTAAAAGTGGAATTCTACATTTGCAAAGCAAGAGATTTTGAACAGTACTGTGAATTACACATACACACGTTCCTTCTGTAGTCTCATACCAGCTGTACGTATACACAATTTAAGCAGTGGAATGGTTTTCAGCTTGTTCTTTGTACAGGACACTTGCTACATGCCCCAAGAGTCAGTTATCTGAAAAAAAAAACCCACTAATAAAACTGCATAATAGTGCTTTAATATTAATTTGTTAAAATCCAAAACAGCCTTACAGTAGCTGTTAGGCAATTACTTCTTCCAAAGACATGCAGTAATAAAAGAAAAAATTCTAATCTTGAGCAGCATCTGAGAAAACAACTTAATGTAGCTGCCACTTAGTGGCAGCAATCGTTTAGGCATTTTTGGTATTGATACATCTCTTTTTCATATAATTTGTGCATTAATCAACAAAAATATAGGCCCCAATCCAGCAAATACTTGCATGTGTGCAAATGGTTTTCTTCCACATGGAATTATTTCAAGTTAAGACTCATCAGATGAGCAAAGATTGCATAAATCTTTACAGGAGGGGAATTCTTAGTGCTTAACTGTGTGTTTTCATAGGACTAAGATCCAAATCTAGACTTATAGAATGTAGGAAACACTCCTATAAATAACAGATATGTTGCTTTAATAAAAATGCTTTCAAAGCTAACAAGAGCCTCTAGAAATGCATGTGCCCTCTCTCCAAACACTTCAATCCTACTTGGAATAATGTGGGTCCAGTCTTACTGCCCTAGTTCCTGGCTACTGCAAGAGAAATCAGTAAAGTGCTTGTCACAAATTCTGCAGTTGTGGTATAAAATAAAGTAGCTTCAGAGTGTTTTCGGATTTATAAATTATGAATTAAGGGCTGATGTCTCGTCCTCAGCATGTTTTTCATTCTGAAGATAAATTAGAATTCTGCTAGGACTAGATATATTTCACCTTTGTCCCAGTGAAGTCATCCTCTGCCTCCGGGGGAAAAGCTTAACTGGATTTACTTTCAGTGTAAATGTTCATGCTTGACTGAAACGTGATGCTCATGCAATTTCACAAGCACCAGCATTCAATGTGATGGTTAGCTTTGCTTAATCAAACATGAAGCACCAGTATTGTTTACAGTATATCCACTCTGAATTGTGTTCGTAATTTCTTCCCAAATGCACCATAATCCTGAGAGGTCTTGCTTGCCCTCTGACCTTTCCTTTGATATATTTTGTTCCTCTTGAATAAAGTATCTTTGATATTAGCTTTGATATAAATTCTATTGATCTCTGTGGCATCTTATCAACGTACTTCTGAATATTTAAATTACTAAAACTTTCTCTTTAGATAGATATACATATATATATATTTTAAATTTTTTGTTAGCTTTCAGATAATTAATCTATGAGAACTGACTTAGACTGTATGCTCTCTATAGAGAACTTCTGTATGCTTCCCATACAAAAACAAATAATGGTTTGAAATATTTAGCCATGTGTTTGGATGATATTTTTCTTTTTTTTAAAGGCTTCGGTGTTGCCTGTATTTATCTTCCAGTCAGCTACAGGATAATAGCAACAGCAAACACATTGACAATGCAGTTCATTGTTCGGTTTTCCCATCTCACTGTGCAGGTTCCTAGAAGAGATTATTACAAAATAAAAGAGAATTCCAGTGTCTTTACTACAATCACTTTATCAGAGTGGACATCATGTCAAATTAGTATGAATAATTCAGCTGTGATTTAAGGTAAGTACTATTACATCATCCTGGCTATAAGGAGACAGTTTCCAGGAAAACACATTTTTCCTCTTCCATTGTATCAATGTACCAATGCCTTACAAACCAAGGAAACATGAAAATTAAACTGTACTTGTTTACTTCATTTTATGATTTTATTTTTTTAACCTTGACTTCCTGATGCCATCTCTATTTTAAAGGTATACTTGGTGCCCTCTTCTAAAAAGACCTTTTTTCAGTCTGTAACAGACATAAGATTAAAATAATCTTGTTTCCCCATGATACTCTGAACCTGGGAAAAAAAATGCATTTAGAACTAGTTTAGAGGCAGTAACATGCATCCAAAGCCTGGCTGATAGTCACACAACTGAAAAAAATACTGTTAGTCAAACTATTTCTACTTTTTACCAAGTTCTGTTCTCTTCCAAAGTAGCACTGTCCCCTTACAGCAAACAGGCAGATATGTTTAGGACTACCACCTGCATTTACTGCAAGCAACATTTTACTGCCTCTTCAACTGATTTATGGTTACTAATGAGGATTAAATGTTTTGACTCTTGTTTCAGAATAAAAGCATTTCTACTCCAGCTTCTCATAATTTACAAAGTAATTGCTCTTAATGCAGGCACTGACTGCTAACAAAATTTTTCTGCTGGGAATGTAAACAAGCATCTAACACTGGAAGCTACTGCTTCTACAGTCACTCTTGAAAATGTTCAACCTAACTATTACAACTGAACAATAAGTAACATTTCTTTAACTACAAGTTTTTAATTTGAATGAGGGAACTTACCATCAGTTGTGGTATCCCAGAAGCACGAGCTTGCTGTGTGAAGACCAGCTCCACTCCTCTGCATCACTGCACAGGTTACTGCAAGTTCACAGAATCATAGAATGGTTTGGGTTGAAGGGATCTTAAAGACCATCTAGTTCCAACCCCCCTGCCATTGGCACGGACACCTTCCACTAGACCAGGTTGCTTAAAGCCCCATCCAACCTGGCCTTGAACACTGCCAGGGAAGGGGCAGCCGCAGCTTCTCTGGGCAACCTCTGCCACACCACCCTCACAGTAAATAATTTCTTTCCTTATATCTAACCTGAATCTACCCTCCTTCAGTTTAAAGCCTTTACAGCTTATCCTACCACTACACCCCCTGATAAGAGTCTCTCCCCATCTTTCCTGCAGGCCCCCTTTAAGTACTAGAAGGCCATTATAAGGTCTTGCCTCGCCAGAGCCTTCTCTTCTCCAGGCTGAACAACCACAACTCTCTCTCTCTGTCCTCACAGGGGAGGTGCTTTAAGCCCCCTGATCATCTTTGTGGCCTCCTCTGGACCTGCTCAAGCAGGTCCATGTCTTTCTTACACTGGGGGCCCTAGAGCTGGACACAGCACTGCAGGTGGGGTCTCACAAAAGCAAAGTAGAGGGGGACAAACACATCCCTCGACCTGCTGGCCACACTTCTCTTGATGCAGCCCAGGATACAGTTGGCTTTCTGGGCCTCCAGTGCACATTGATGGCTCATAGTCAGTTTTCCATCCAGTTAACCCCTGCAAGTCCTTCTCTGCAGGGCTCTTCTCAATCCACTCATTGCCCAGCCTGTATTTGTGCTTGGGATAAGATACAGTCATAAAATCAAGGAATTAATTATTAAAGCAGAAGAGGGGTATCATTCAGTACTTCTGAACTCAAGCCTGCATTACATTTTCAAATGGCTAGCAGGTGGCACTCAGCTAAGCCAAAACCTTTTTGGCTAACCCCCTTGCCCCCAGCATTTTCCTCAACAATTTAGTATTAATTTCACTATTATTTTTATCTCCATAAAGACAACAGCTTTAACAAAATGCTTGCTAATAGGATTACAGTTTTTATCTTTTAAACTACTTAGATATGGCTCATGTCATGTGCACCTCAGAACTGGATTGCAGGTGCTGTCCTCACAGATACAGCAGAAGTTACACTTGGTGAGAGTTGTTTCCCAAAAGTGCTGGTTGACTGTTCTCTGAAACCACACTCTAGTAATATGCAGCTTTTCTAGACTGACCTGCAATGGTCACAAAACTAGTGACAATCTGAATCCAAGACTTTCAAAACAGAACAGAGAGCAAACACTTGCTGTTACATCAATACTCCACAAAAGGACCAAAGTGGGTTAAACTTCTACTTACTTCCATTTCCCTTCCACAGATATGCATATAAATATAATGAGACACAACTTATCGTACAGGACTAAAGTCTTTCAAACGTCTGTATTTACAGGAACCTTAATCCTACTGAAAATTTTGTTTAAGATAAAAAATTATTTCCTGAACTGATAGAAAAAAGTTGATGTAATTGTTTTGCAGCTGCTTAACAGACAGAAAAGACTGTGTAACATGTCACGTACTGTGCTGTTGCTAGCATGCTTAGCTCAAGTGAAACTGCCACAGTTTTACCACAGCTGTTACTAAAAATCTGTATTACAGAAGAGTTCAGGTATCTGCTCTGCTTTGTCTACAGCTTAAAACTTTCTCCTGAATATAGTAGTGCATTCAAATGAATCTTTCATTATTTATTTATTGTGATTCTATGTGGTAAAAGTATGACTGCTTGTACTTACCGATGTACTTGTACGTTTTTCCGAGTTTTACCAGATGTGTCAGCGACTGTTCTACTATAGCAGCAGTCCACTGGTTGACTTTGTTGTGATTATAATCTGCCTTGCCTAAAACGCTTTCTATGCACTAAAATAGATAAAAAAAATACTTACAGTAAACATACTTCAAAATGTAGAGATTTTAAATGTCTCACATAATCTGAGGAATTTTATCTGGCAACTGGATTACTTCAAATAACAAACTCATCAGCTATCAGTTGGTGAATGGGAAGCAAAATTAACTTTCTTGGAAACTTATTTTTACTACATACTTAACACATTTTTACATGGAGAAAAATGAGGCTCTGACTGAACATTTCTTGTAGCAAAGAGCTTAGCCATATACTTTAAGAACCAAGTTACGTGAATGGATTTATTTACCAGTGGAGGTACTAACACATCTCACTGTTCCTAGTGACTGCCTACTCCAGCTTGGCTTTCATGGAATGGTACTAATCAAATAAATAACATCGTCTTGGGCTGGCCAATCTTTCAGAGTCTGTAAGCAATACCAAAATCTTCAGAACTAGAGCAACAACAGTCAAATGCATACCCCAGTTTAAAAGATGAGTATCTCTCTCTCTCATGTCCTCCTCAAGGGTCATATCTTGCAGCAAAAGAAATAACTGAACTGCTTGAAAACTGCATGTTCTACCACAGCTACAGACTGGTCAACACTTGCTTAAATTTAAAATAATTGAACAGAAAGCTTTCTCTCTTAACTGTAACCCTTAAACTGCATTCTCTACTCCTAAGAAATTCAGAATTATGTGCTGATGGATGCTTCTTAAAATTGAGAAATTTGGTTAAGAAATGCACACCTGGAAAAGGTTAAGTAAATCAAAACTGTGTTCCCCTCTGATTCAGTAAAATGAATCCCATACACTAACCACCCACTAAGAGGCTGTGTAAAAAACTTGTGGCCCAGATCTTAGAAAGCCCAATTAGTTCTAATCACAGTGTATAAAGCTGGACAAAGGACTCAGTGGAAACATCCACAAAACAAAGACAGAAGTACAGGAAGATCCCTCAGGGATTTTTGGTCCTTCCAGAAACATACACAGTGCTAAAGCTCCTCAGCTCTGGTTAAGCTTTCAATCAGAGCAGAAACGCTTGGCTTTACTCCCAGTGTCTGGAGACTCTGTATTTGGCCTTTCAAGGCAGGGACCATTATATGAAGGGTTGAATTGTTTATCTGACATCTAAGAGCTTGTTGTTGTGTACAGGAGCAGTTCTAAAAGTGCAGCCCTTTACCTTCCTGACAGGGCAGCTGGGAAGGGACCTGCAGAGCTCCTCTAGAAATTCCTTTCTCAAAACCGTATTTCCCTGAAAAACCTGACAGCATCTGTATGCCACAGGCTCTTCATTAATCACTCTCCAGTTACTAGGTATTTAATTTAGACCATAAGGTTACTCTCAGCCTGCTCTTTCTGTGTAAAAAATTGATTTTCAAAAACATTGCTAAAATAATGAGCTCACATAGTGCAACCTCCTGCTCAAGCCAAGGCTAACTTTCAAGTTTGATCACATTACTCAAGACTTTGTCCGGTCAAATTTTAAAAATCTCTAAGGACAGAGACTCCATAAGCTCTCCCTGTAACCTCTCTAGTGATTAACTACTCTCTAGCTGGATAAAGGGGAAAAAAAAAAAAATCATTCAGTGGATTTCTCTTGCAATTTGTGACTGCTGCTCTTTGTCTCTCCACTACAATGCACATTCTGGCTCTCTCTTCTCTCATCTACCCTCTCTTTAGGTAGTTGAAGACAGCAATTAGATGTAGCTTAAAGCAGCTCAAGATGAAACGCCATCTTTATTTGATACAAATAATACTTTCATATAAGATTGGATTTATCTGGTATGGTCAATGAAAGTATCTGCTTTCACTACGGTGCAAGGTAAGGTAAAGAATTTATTTGAAATACAGCTGTTAAAACCTACCTCCTTAACTATGTTGTGGGCCTCATCAGCATTGAAGATCATCTGTAATAAAAATTATTATTATTATTTCTGACAGAAAAGTAAACAAATGATGCGGTTTTACTCTAAGTAACACATAATGATCAGGCCCCATGTCTGGTTATTTGTATTGTGTATTCTGTTAGTATAATTCTAAAAATCTTCCTTTTTTCCCCAGCACCGAACATATGTTATTTAGTAGTGTGTTGCTAGTCACATTGGAGTGGGTCCAAAAAGCTCAGGCCTCACAGAGTTTGGAAACAGGTTTAATTTACACCTTCTGTAAAGATTAAATTCCACCACTGTCTATACTTGTCATGGGAATATTCTCCAAGACAAAAAGTTATATGGCAGATCTTTTCCTCTGGGCTTTAATCCAGGTTTTTACTGGAGTCACGGACTTACTAACGTGTGGGTTACATTTTGCTGCCAAATGGTGACAAGGTTTCACAACCCTAGTACCAAAAAGACTGGTTTCCATAGTCATTAGCTTACCCAAGTAACTTTCTCAAGTGCAGAAAAAGCTTGCAAGTTTTAATGCCTCCGATTTTCTGTTCATTCCTACTCATCAGTGTTCAGCTTAGCCCCCAAAAGAAACACGGCCCATGCCACTGTGCCATCCGCCTCTTCACAGCCATCAATTTCAAACACTTGGGCTAGGACAGAAATCTCAAGGACAATAATGCTTCTGCGAGGTTTTATTGTGGTGGGTTTTTTTTAATGAAGACTGGTGGCTAGAGACCCTAAGTAAGGTCCTCCGGGGCTGGAAAGCTTCCTCAGTTCTGGCTGGCAGGTATCAGCCTGCAGCGCAGACTGGGCCCAACACCTTTTTTTTTTCCCCAGGGGTGATATCAAGAAAAATGGCCGCAGACTGACAGCAGCAGCGCGGCGGGCGGCAGCACCCTCGACACCGCTCCCCCTTTGCCGTGCGGGAACTTTCGGCGCCCAGCACGGTGACGGGCCGGTGACCGCTGCCCGGAA